TGCAAAATGTTTCTTTGGGGTTATTGAACTTTAAAAATCACTCAATTCATCACTGAGCTTTGCAAAAGCTTCCCTTGGAAACCTTTTACAAAGTTCAGTGATAAATGGGGTGATTTTTAAAGTTTAGCGATCCGGTGAAATTTGTTTGCAAAGTTTAGTGACTATTCGGGTAATTCACTCGATCCAATACTAAAGTTTATTAGAAAACATAATTGTAAATCAAATCATACAAGATTAAGGACTTACATTTAATTTCTATCCTAATAAAGTATATTAGGATTACAAAATAACTAAAGATTATCACAAAACAATTACTCAACAATTAGGAGATGAATCAACCGAGGTTACCCCCCCCCCCCCCCCAATTATATTTTTCAAAAGTTTCTTTAGACGGTTAAAACGTGGGTTTAACTTATCTTCATTAACTTTCCTTAGTCCATAATTTGCAATTCATTATGAGCTTCAAAATGAGTCTAATATTGATAGGGTAATTCTAATTCCTTTAATAGTTAACTATATGGACCAATTAAATAAATATGAAATCTAATATTTATTTTCACTTTGATCCCTTAACTATTAAGGAAAAATCATAAGATCCAAATTAATTATTTAGTATAACAAATTAACTTGCATAAATACTTGACTAAACATGGCATTTCTATCAATTAGAAAATAAAATATATGCAGTAAAACTCATAAAATTTCGGGATTCTAAACAACAAATCCCCGAGCCTAAGATTGTGAGGAAAGTTATTAGATCCCTACCTAAAAGATTTATATCAAAGGTCACAGTTATTGTGAAAAACATAGACCTATATGCTATTAAGATAGAAAAACTAGCAGGGTCTCTCCAAACCTATGAGCTTAGCCTACCCTATACTAAGAAAAATAAGTTTCTAACCCTAAACACTGTTAAGAAAGAGACTAGTAAGCAGGCTAATGATGATACCTTAAAGGATGAGAAGTTTGCTTGCTTTGTTAAGAAATTCAAGAAATTCTTTCAAGATAATAAGAGATCTTCTAAGAAGTATAAGGGTATCTCTAGTAAATATAGGAAAGATAAAGAGATAAGAGTGACAGTAGAGATGCCAAGAAAATGTCTCAATCAGTTAGGTGTCATGAGTGCTAAGGTTTTGGACATGTTAGAGCCAAGTACCCAAGTTATAAGAAAACCCTAGATAAGGTTATGAATGCCTGTCTCAATGATAATAAGTCTAGCTCAAATCATGAAAAGTGAGAACTCCAATCTTGATAAAAGTGTGAACTATATGGCGTTTACCTCCGTGGTTAAGAGAATGAAAGAGAGGATGACATAGAGCAATCTGACTCTTTAAAGGAATAATCAAAAAGATGATAGGTATATATATGAGGCCTTTGACCAATTGTTTGAAGAGAGCCTTCAGTTGAAAAAAAGTTAATGGCTCTGCCTCTAAGAAATAGAATAAACTTGAGTTAGAAAAGGAGAGTTTTGTGGTTAAACTTGAGGAGTCGAATAGAAGATTGAATGAGTTGATGGTTGAGAAAGAATCCTTAGAAATTAAGGTTAAGACTCTTACTAGTGATCTTGAGAAATCTAGTACCCAACTTCAACCATTATTAATATTTCTAGGAAGCTTGAAAACATCTCAGGACTAAAGAAACCTGCTAGGAATCGGAGACGAATAGGATATAAAGAAATAAGTTTTCATACCTCTACTCCATCTAAAACCATGTATGTACTTGCCTCTAACAAGACTAAAAGTGTAGGAATCCTAGGAAAAGGATCTTTTGTGCAACATAGGGCTCCTTAATCTATGGTTCAAGACGCGAGACATAGAATTACTCCTAGATTCATTCACACTTGTCATAATTGTGGCGACTTAGGTTACATAAGGCCTAAGTGTTGTAAGCCCTTGGTTAGGAACAACAAATAAAATCTCATTACTTGTGTTAAATTCTTCACTAATCGAGTGATTTACTTGACTGATATAATGAGTTATTTGACTAAGATGATATCTTCTTTTAAGAAGATTTGTGTTAAAACAAGAAGTAAATCTCTAGTCAAAGTGATGTAATAAATTATGGTGTTACTCGCATTGTTCTTCAAGGTAAGAGTGCTTTTGTACCTCGTTGAGTAGGTCTATAGGTCCATACATATCTATTGTTTATGATATCTACATATTCATGCATGCACTCTAATCATCTGCTTTCAGAAGAAATCGAAAAATTTCTTGGGAATCCTACAAGATCCGTTCGTTCTTTATTCATTTATTATTATTATTATTATTATTTTTTTTTTTTTTGCACTCTCTCATTTTTTATTATCATTTTAAAGATTAAAATAAAAATAAAAACATGAAAGAAAGGGAAAAGGATTTTTAAAACAACACTTTGAAGTGATATTCTTAAACATGTAACACTTTGAAGTGATATTCTTAAACATGTTATTTTGTGATCAAGTACTAGTAAAATTAATGAGTGGAATTTTGTTTAGAACTTGTATGGTGTACTTTGTATATGTTATTTTATGTATCATATGCACTACATACATTAAACTCTTGTGAGTGCATATTCACCCCGTGTGTGAGATTTGGGATGACGGTCATCGGTGTGGTAAGGTGATCATGAATATGTATTGACCTTTAACTAGTTGACATAAACTCTTTTATGTTTCTTCAAAAGAAAAATGTATTAATCTTCAAAAAGATTTGAATTTCATAGAAAAATGTGATACATCTTATACTCCTCTTCGTAAATTTTATGAATCGAGTAATTAAGCTTGCTAGTTATCTAAAAATCTAGTACCTTATAGTCATCTGATTTGAAAGTCACCGGCCTTAAAAATAGAGAAATATATATAGTGTGTGCACGGATAGGAATAGAAAAAGTTATACAATATATGAGCTTTAAAAAGTTCTAGTAGCACTGGCTTTGACTTTCATAATTTGGAAAAAATAAATACATTCATTCACTAGTAATTTCTTTACATGTCTTTTCCCACAGATATAAGGTTTTAATTCTTGTCTATAGGAGGTTAGTGCACTTTTCACACATAGGTTGCTTATACAATTTAATCCATATAGAATTAAAATGAGTTATGTGAGAAGAATTCATTTTTCATGAATTATACTTGTATAAGTAATCAATTAACTATTCAAGTGATCATGTGAGTTGAGCTTTCAAGACATGATGTTATATTTAAAAATCCATGAAAAATAGTTATTTCTAGAAGAAAAAAATATCTCATCTCATGGTTTATATAGTGCGTCCACATGCATAGTTTTTTTCACTTACATCTCTCTGTGTTATACATGATTATATTGCTTGGATTCCCTTTATTATTCACGACAAAAATGGGAAGATATTATTATATATTTCAGGGAAGTATGTAGTAAATGAGTGAGGGGAAGTAGTTGTTTGTTTTTGAATATTTTGATTGATGATCAGACTAGGTGAATTTGATGTGTTGCCTTATTGATATTATGTTAATGTTTTTGTATAATATTAATATCACATCGTCTGTTGCTAGTTCAGCTATATTGAATTGTATCTCAAATTGTCATGTTTAGATGGTAAACTATTGTGAAATGGAGTGTTACATGTTTTGGCGTTTACACGTTCTACTTGTATTGTTTACATAATTTAGTTATGTGCTTAATTGTCTGTTTCCTCTTGCTTTTACACGTGATATTATTTTTTCATGTGTTTTGGAGATGAAGTTTGGGTATTGAGTCTTTAGGTTATTAGTGTAAGGTTGTGTTGATTGTATTGTTGAAATAAATAGTTTTGATATGGAATACCAAAGGGGGAGTTTTTTTGTCCAAATCATATTGGCTATTTCTATTTAAAAACTATAGTTTATTAAGTTGTAATTCCAGTAAAAGAGACAGAGGTTGTGAGTATATATTGAAGAAGTCAAAGATGAAACAAGGACCAAGTTATCGACGGAAAAACGTTTGTTGTCCACTATGGAAGCTCTCAAGTAGTTTTAGCAGGAAGCCGCCGCTCGCGCGGCTGCTTGATGAGCACTCAAGAGATGGTTATATTTGGATAAAACCCTAGTCACAATTTTAACAGATTTTACAACCCTAAATAACATCAACAACTCTATGTTTATAAATATTCAAGCCATAGTTCATTTCAAACATCTTTTGCAACTGGTTGAACCTATTTTCATACAAGAGAACAAAGCTTTGAAGATGAATAATATATTCCATAAATCTCTTGATTCAATTAGAAGATTAAGGCATAGAAGATCAAACACCAAAAGCTCAATCCTTTACCAATAATCCTTCAAAGTTTTGAAGTTTGGGAGAGACAAATGGACTTCTAGTTGGAGAAGAATAAGGTTCGTTCTTGGTGATCCATGTGGAAGGAAAAGAAGTCTAGAGTTGTTGGAAAGTGGACAAGGCATAATCAAAGAATTTTTTGGTGATATACAAGTTGGTTGATCATAGTCCATTAACGTTTAGTTGTATGTGGATCAACTATAAGTTAAATCTTTTGCAGTGGATTGTTTTGACAAGGTTTGTCAGAGATTTTCTTTATCTCTGTGAAGAGTCTTCAAGGGATTTTCCTTTGTTACCTTATTTTGCCCCCGTTTGGGCCTCATTATTTCAAATTATAATTTTTCTCTTTCTTATTTTCAATCTCACAATCTTTCATAAAATAATATTACACGTAAATCGAAAATTTTTTCTTCTTTTTTGACAACACATTCTGTAAAAAATACTATTCCAAAAATTATAAATCGAAATAATGGAGGCCAAACGGGGGCTTAGTGTTGATCTCATTTTTACTGCTTTAATATGCTTAATTGATTGACTGAATAATTAAAGTTTAATATTGATTAAAATTAATCATCTAGAAAAAATAATTATTAATTTATTACTTTTTTTATTGATTGTTATTTTAATTCTGTATTATAAATCTATTCATCCCCTCTAGAAGTTGCTGGGTCTAAATATTGGATAATTTTCAAATATCATGAATCTCATCCTGGCGGGGCGGGCTTTGCCCGGGGGGGGCACGTGTCTCCACTGGACGGACATGCCCATTGTGGCCTGTCCATCTAGCATAATTCAATATCGAAAAACAAGAACAAGAAGTCTTCTAACATTTACATCCTTACATGCATCATGCTTTTTTTTTTCTCGATATATTTCTTTTTCTTTTTCTAACATTATACATATATATCTATCGGTCTGACTGCTTCAAACATAACGATATGGTATCTACTACAGTGGATTAACGTTTAGCTCAGATGAGTGATTAATCTAATGTGGAAAATTTATCTCTTCTTGATCATCCTCCATTGACAGAAAGGCTTCATCCAGATAAGAAAGCTGATCTCCATCGCCATCAGTTTCGTGGAAATTGATCCCGTGACAGCTCATATTTGCTTCATGAACTCGGCATAGAACCCATTCATCTAAATCCTATATCGATCAATTAGTAAAAAAAATAATCAACTGCTAGTAAAAAATTACAAATTTTTTCATAATCTGTGTTGGAGGGATTTGAACTCAGATGTTAGTGTAAAAAGGCATTACATGAATTAATTTTAATTCTTTATTTTTATTTTTTAACATAAACCAAAGAAATATTTTTCTAAACAAAAAGTGTATAGTTGTCTTACTTGGATATGACTTTCTGCTGTTTGAGAAATTTCGCTGAAAATACCATTTTTAAGCAGATGATATTCTTCCATCATCCAAACAGTTTGCTTGTCTGAGCAAACAGCATCAGTATAGAACACAAGATATTTCTTGATTCCTACTTTGTTCCCGGTACTTGTATGTATGGCCTCATCAAGGCCTATCTCCTTCCAAAACCCTTTTTCCGTAGCTCGGTTTTGCATCTGTCTGCTGAAGAAATACGATTTCCTTTCACTCATAAAAGCCTTATCTATCGGCCAGAGAGAGAGAGAGAGAGAGAGACCATTTAGATACAAGGTACAACATATATGACATATCCTAGTGTAAAAATTGATCAAGAATTATTGTTGACAAGAAAATAATTCATATAGATGAAATAATCGAAGGCTATCAAATAAAACTTACCATTTAATTCCCATGGATTGGGTGGAAAACGATCAAGATCAGGGATGATATCGAAGTTGCAGGGCATGTTTGCAGCCTTGTGATATAGAAAGTAAAGAACAAGCTCTTCATCAGTCGGATCAAAGTAGAAACCAGGAGGGAAAATCGATCCTCTGTCTCCCATCATTTCAGTAAGCAAGTAAAGAAAACTAGATTTCGGTTGCAGAGTAGAATTTCAGAAATACGCTTTGATATATATACACACAAAAAAGAAAAAGGCATCGGTACGTACAACTGTGAGTGGGAAGTTTTTATCCTACCAACCGAATGCAGGAAATCAATTTCATATATATGCATAGAAACGGTCTACTCATAGTGGGTAAGAGTTATCTTACCCCGTTGCTGATGTACATCAAGCCTATAATTTTAACAATTTAATGTTGAATTATCAAAATTTATAGGCTTAATCGTTGCCACGTCACCGATGATTAAGTTTTATTCTAACCACCATAGGCATGAGATCATTCCCCTCTCTATATGTCTGTGTGTAAAGTGCGAAAATCATACCTGAGAGTTCAAAGGCGGCTGGTAATAGGAGAAAGGTACATTAAACTGCATTTTTATCAGTAAAGTGGAAATGTATTATGTTTGAAGTAACTTCGTTGAACTCTTGAGTTTTTGTCAAACCATAATTTATTTTTTGTTTATTTAATTATATATATATATATATATATTTTTTTTTTTTTTCTTTTTTTTTTTTTTTTTTGTTAG